CGGCCGTCCTAACAATATGTCGTCACCGTTAGATAAATCTGCTTAAATAGATACTATATACTGAACTAAACTAACTAAACAAAACTAAGTAAAATAAAAAGTAAGCTAAAACTAAAATTAAACCAAAAAACTAAGTATTAGACTAAAACTTAAAGTAACCAGAGGACTAGGGGCTAGGAGTATCTGAGGTGGGTAGCCAACTTAACCGTTATCCAACTATCTTCAGACTCTGTCCTGAATAGGAAGAGAAATGGAATGCCAGTACCTAGAGCGTTGTATTCTGCACCGAATGGTTTTGAGAACGGGTTAGGATAAACTGGCAGCGGACTTGGGTACAACTCCGGCGGTGCGAGCGTAGGCCTCCCGAATGAGATATTGGGGCGTCGCAACAGCGCCTTGAGCAAGCTCATGCCTGTGTCGGCCTTTAAGTTCATTTGTCCCTTCTGAAAGCTGTGATTAGCCGATATCCAGACTGCCAGTAGTAAGCGCGCAGGCACAAGTGGGTGGCGCAGTATTGCAATAGGCGCACGAAGTAGGGCCACTACAAAGTAAACTCAAGGGCACTTTTGGAAGGGATAGGAGTACGAAACCAACGAAGCCAGGCCGATTTCCTGTTGAGGTTTTAATGCGGACGTGTGGGCGGCCTCAAGTGCATTCTTTTCGTTCTGTTTGGGAAATCTATAACACCGTGGCCTGGTAGTTTCAGATTTTGTTTGTTGCGTCTTTTCTGATAATCCTGTAGTTTTCTCCTGTCTTCTTTACCCCTTTAATGACACGACGGAAACGTGTTAGCTGAGCACCGTCGTTGTGCTCTCAGTAATCGTCATTTGCAAGTTTGCTTAATTAAAAGCGAAAATCTGTGGGATCTGTCATTCCAACCTTTACGCCATTGATTTAGTGGTTGTGTTTACGGCAGTTCTCGCGTTTGTTATTACTTGTCGTTTGTGCACCTAAATCAAAACATGCGTGTTGTACTTTTGATCGGTTCACTACGGCATTCTAGTTAAGAGGGGTAAATGGTCTTATTTCAGTCCCTTAGGAACAAGGCAATAGACCTCAGTAGAGTTAATCTAACCGTGTCTCTTACAATAGAAATGCTAATTTTAAGCATCAGTAGACGGAAAAGGGCCAACATTTTCTCTGAACAAGAAAATATGGCTTTGAAAGTAGGCACATGAGATTATTCTAGTGTTTTATTGGTGAAGTCTTCTTTATTACCCAGTACTTCGAGGTGTTATTTGACGTGGAAGCTAAGAGGGGAAATCTGGGACTAGTAAACAGTTAGATTAACAGTTGAGTAAAAAGTGGCGATAATTTTGCTAGAAGGAATAAATGTTTTAGCTTCCTGTGTTTTTATTGACTCTGCTTAGCGCGTATACATATTTGGCACCAATTTGACCCCTCGCCCTTATCGTACGTGTGGGAAACCGCGCCTTTTTTACCGTCTTCAAATAAACGCAGTATCTTCTGAATTTATTGGTTGCATTAAGCCCCATTATTTATGACTTCGCATAATTTTTTGGCCAACGTGGTTTCTTGGTTAGGATACCTACGTTAAAACACGCTAGTCTTTCACAGCAATTTCTGCATCGTTACCTCTACACCTTATCTTCTCTGTACCCTCCCTCTCCCCCCACAGGAACTTACTTCAGTGCGGGTCTCGAGGGTGTTGAGGAGATTGTGAAATCCCTATGTCTCACGCAAAAGAAGGGCTACAAGGGCATGGGTGCGCATGTTCTGCCTCGAACCTTGTCCAACATGCCCGTAGGTCACCTAAGTCGGGCCTGGGGCCTTCGAGGACCCACTATGTCCGTCAATACTGCCTGCGCCTCGGGCCTGCACTCGGTTGGAGAGGCCTACAGAATGAGTAGGTTTCATTTACATGGAGCATACCTGTTTGCTTACCCCTGATTTCTGTTTGTCATATAGTTTGTTAGCGTTCAGTGTGTTTGCACGCGACAATGCACTCTTGCTGCTTCTAGTTTTCTTAATGTTTTGTCATTTACGCTTTTTTTACAGGAAGAGCACGCTGTAACTAACACGTACTTATAATTTACCCAGGAATTGTTGCTACTTATTGAAATTGAGTAGTTCGAATTGCTTTACTAGAACGTTTTGTGCACTTATCATCGAGGTGTGCAAGGTAGTCTAGTGTAAATTTACTACATTTGGGCAAAAAATCAGCTTCCGCGTAGACTGCGGATATCGCTGTTGTAATTGGGTAATTATATCTTCCTATGGTGCGCGCGCTTCAAATTGCGGTTTAAATTTCTCGTCCTCCGTGGGAAATAT